ACACTTGATAAGATTCGATAAGGGGCCTTAGAAGGGGGGGGGTGACCAACATCTAGCGCAAGTTGCAGCAGCTGCGGGACCTTGATTTCAAGAAGTGATATACATGGCAGGACGGGAACACTTTTGTGGGTGACAGGAGGTGATAACACTTGAAGCATTTCGATAAGGGGCCTTAAAAGGGAGGGTGACCGAATTCGTGGCAAGTTGCAGCAACGGCGGGACCATGATTTCAAGTACTGATATGCCGTAGGGTGGGGCTGGCAGAAGCTGATAACAGTTGATAAGATCCGATAAGGGGCCTCGAAGAGGAGGGTCATCAAATTCGTGGCGCAGGTTACAGCAACAGTGGGAACTCAGATCCGTGAGGTGATATAGGGTGTGGGACGGGAACATTATTGGCGGGCGACAGAAAGTGATAACAGTTGATAAGATACGGTAAGCGGCCTCGGAAGGGGAGGGTCATCAGATTCGTGAGGCAGGTTACACAGTGGGACATCTGATCCGAGATTCGATACAGGGTGATATGATAGTGATACCGGACGGAGTGTTAATTGGCAGGTATAGAATGATGGGAGCTAATAATTTGACAAGGTAGCATGGGAAAATCCGCTTCACCGCTCACAACAACAATGCGATCGATATGACTCAAGTATAACGATCTCAGTGATTCCAACAGAACTCATTCCTCACTGCTTATTAGTAACGACATCGTGTACGACCGCTAAGCCAGCTCTATTCCAAATGCATGTGGTTTGTTTACAGAGATGTTATGAAGCAGCAGCAACTGACTTTATCACTCTTACCACAATTATCTTCCATCAGCAACTTCAGTGAGGGCCATTTAAAAAGGGTTCCCCTGCTGAGTGAGGTAGTGCATTCCAAAGCAAGACGCTTTAGGAAGACAGTTTGAATTATAGGCTGCTTCAGTGGCTGTCCAAACAGGCTGCACTATTTCCGTGTAGGTTATGAACGTACCAGTCGGGATCGCTGGCTAAGGCCGGCTTTCCTCCTTCTGTGATGCGGGGGGGGGGGCTGCTGCTGCTTCTGCGCCTTGACGGAACAAGCGCTGCTTTTCAGTTCTTGGCTGATGCAGAAGATTCCTTTGAACAGTGTGGTTGGTCAACGATCCTTAACTAGCACGCGGCAAATCCGCATGGCCGGCGACCGGCCCATGCACTCAGAAGGAGGAGCGCCCGGCGATCAGCCGGGCGATCAGACGATTGAAAATAATCTTAGCGCCAAATTTTGATAGAGTAATATTCCAGTCACCGGACCTTGTTGAAATAACTGCTCGGTAGTCCTCGATCAACTAATATCACCGGATTTTCGAATCCATGCTTCTGCGCAGCAAACTTAATTAGCTGAAAAACTTGTGCTTGTCTAATCATTCGCTTGTGTCTGCTCTTTTTGACGATATTCCAAACGAAAGGCACCTCTCAAAGTAAACTACTTTCTCCTCAACACTATACCTTATCGTTTTCTGAATGTTGAACACATAAAAGAGGCGCCAAAATTTATTGCGAAAGACTCAAAAGATTCAAAAGAATCCAAAAGTTTTCACAAAAAATTTTTTATATTGTTTATACTCTTTCTTCTTCGAATATTTCGGTGCCTAGCACCTTCTTCAGGTTCTTTAGGCTCCGGGACAGCACTATTTTGAGACTTATCGTTTTCGTTTGCTGAGGTTTTCTTCAAGGCGTGAGTGGAATAAGTGGGGGAGGGGGAGGGGCGGTGGGAAGAAGTGGGGAAATTTCGCGAACTCCTGTCCTCGCTTGCTTCATTCCCATTTGATGCAGTGAAGTGCGAAGAAATGATCGTGAAGCTGCGTTCATACTTTGCGGCAGCGTCCACCGGCGGCTATCGGCATTTCCAGCGTTCGTCAGCGTCTCGTCAGAAAGTAGAGATATCGAGCGGCAGCGTCTACCAGCGTCCAGCAGCGTCCGAGAACGACCATCGGCGTCTCGAGGACTAGGAAAGTATGGATATCGATCTAGCGTCTAGCACCCTCCGCCAGCATCCAGGAGTACGGTAATGTATAATGTACGGGGGGTTGCACACGCCACAATTCTACGACGTCTAATAAAGCTGTCTCTTTCCTCCTACTTCCCCATACTCTACCAGCAGTCTGCTACCCTCTCACTTCCCCATACTCTCTAATTGTAATCGCTGGCGAACGCTGGTAGAAGCTAGATCGGACCCTATGCTTTCCTAGTCCTGATGCTGATGGTCACTGGCGGACGCTGGTGGACGCTGCTGCAAAGTATGAACGCAGCCTGAGTGAAGGAGTGGGCATTTTACGTGGGCCTACATAGTCGAAAGAGTTTGGGCATCCATGAAGTGGAGGGAATCATTTCTCCCGCTATTCATCTCCCATGTGGAGTGGTCTACCTCTCACGGAAATCCAGTAATTCCTCCACTTCGCTCTCTCTCCTCCACCAACTTTTCCTGGCTCATTTCGCTTATTTTTTGTTTCTAAGGTCTCACGAACAACGAACTTTAGAACCACTGTGAGGGATTCACAAGACCTTACGAAATTCCCCGTCATTGCCAGATCCCCACCACCCCCCCCCACTCCAAACACACGCAACTTACGCCCTTTCCTTTATGTACCGGAGAGGTCAGATATGAGCCACGCACTCCTTTCTAAAGAAGTCCCACCTCTTCCTGCTCAAGTTGAAGTCTC